AGTTTCAGTTTCTGGATAGTTTTTCTTTAGCATCAAAGGATCAAGCAGCAAGGTTAGCATCAAGCATGAGACCAACTATTCTACTCATAAGCCCCCAAAGTGGTCATCCATCCTCCTCCTATCACCACTCTTAAGTTTATTCCTTTTTGTCCTTGAAAGAATTTGAAGAGGGGAACTGTTGCATTTTTTCATCTTGAACATGAGGGTTGTTTGTTATAGAGTGAAGATATTTTTTAGAAATGATAGAGGTCACCTTTATTGTTATTATTATTATGTCACAATATTTTATGTATGGAGGTGGTTCTCAAGTTGTAATCTTTAAATCTCATGTATTTTCCATTTCCACTACCCCTTCAACAATGTACATCCTCTTTCCATTATTTTTGGTAGTTGTGTAATCATCTTGAGTTCTTGAGTCTCCGTCATCACTGCCCAGCTCCATCGATTTAGCTAAAAGATTTATATTTTCAACTTTGCTGGCGAGTTCGCTGTAGGATATCACCGTTGGACAGAACAAGATGACCCGTAGCACATAGCCTTTTACATGTGAGACGAGTGCTGCCAAAAGAACTCTTCTCATTTCTTTTTACGGGTGGTGTCTTAGTCAGCCTCCACGTCATCTTTGCTGCTGACTCATCATCCTACATCACCAGCACACCCCAACAAACATATTACTTTAAATTCAAAGACATTACTGGCACAGTAATTGTAGATGGTCATAACGTGAGGACTCAACTATTTGAAGTAAGTAAAATTCATATAAAGGGGGAAATTTTAGCATTTAAGAACAATTAGTATTTAATCCCTTTTTTTTTTCAAATGTTTAAAATAATCTCCATAAATGATTGTGTAATATAGAGACAGATTTAATTGAGTCCTTTGAAATTTGTGAACTTATGTTATTATATTCATCTATTATTTAATGTTTTATCATTTTATTTGACTTAACCAACTTTTTTTAAAAAAAGATAAATTTAAAAAAATGGTTTGGGATTTGGAATGTCAATCAAAAGCAGGGCAAAGAAGTTGATTGGGATTCGGCATCCCAATCTATTAAGTAATCCAACATAAAAAAAAAAAAAGCAAATAGAAGTTGAGGGATCAGTATTGTCATTTTACATTTTAAGATTTTGCATAATGGTCCAAAAGTCCAACACGGACTTGTTTTTTCCACTGGGTGAGGGTATTGACCCTTGCTCTCAGGGTGTCAACACTTGCCTAATTGTTAGCAATTGTGTGCGAGTTCAAGTCGGCCTTGATTGTCACTGTGAAAGTGTTGCACTTGGACTTGGGTGTTGACACTAAAGCAATTTCAGCAATTGTGTACTTTGAGTTTTAATTCTTTGATGTGAACCTCACTTATCTTCAACTATTTTTTTTTTAATTATGTATTGTTATTTATACACAATGTATATTAGATTTTTTGTGAGAAATACCTATTAAAGTAATATAATCTCATTTAATAATTATATACATATAGAGAACATTATTAGTAGTCGATTTCATAAATCAAAATAATTGTTTACATAATAAATATGCATATTAATTTGTTTCATTTAGATTAAAATACATATTAAGTATAACACATAAAATATGTACAATATTTGAAAGTTAAAGATGTATAGTTAGTGGCAAATAAATTATTGATATGACATGTTTTTTATGTTGTGGTTTGAAATCATTTTGTAAATAAAATCATACACATGATATATGTTATGAAACATATCTTGGAGATTAAATTTCATAATTTTGTTAAAGTAATTAGCTACAATTGGAGGTAAGTGAGTTTTATATACTCATTATTTATATGTTCTAATGCCTTTGGGCTAAATTTATTGAAATTGGTTGTACTACTAATCCACAAAGGTTTAAGTTTGACAATTAATAAGGAAATTTATAGTCATAGATAAATGAATAGATAATTGAGAAATTTTAATTCTCATGAACAATTATTTATCTTAATATGTATTTAACATATGGGTTTTGTGATATTATGTTTCTAATAAGCATATAAGGTATTCATATTTGGATATAAAGTACATAATTGTAGTTGCCAATAAACTATCTATAAAATTAATTATGCATTTGGAGAAAGCATAATTGTTATTTTCTATTAACTCTATGGAAATCAAGAAAATTTTTAGAGAATATATATTAAAAGTGCACTAAGAATTGTTAAGAATTACAATTTTAATGATTCATGTTGTATGAAGGCAAATTACAATGGTTTAAGATAACTGAATATGATTTTACTTATATTAGTATTTTATTCAAGATAAAATTATTTGTTTTCATACGTGAGTTTTAACATATAAATTCTATAGTTTAACTATTCATTTTCTAAATCTTTAAAGAGGTTTTGTGAAATTAAAGTTTGGATATAACTCGTGACATATAATTTAAGGTTAAATTGTTGGTTATATAACAGATTTTATTAGCAATTAATTACCTTTAAGGAATAGTTATACACGTCTATTATGCGTATTAGTGACAGCCTAATTGAGGTAGTGTATGAAATTTTTAAGGTGTCAAAGAAAAGATATTTGACAAAGTTCTAAGAATTTTAAAATTTATATATCTTGATTTATTTAAGATATTGATGGGATTTCATATGATTTTTTTTTTAAGTATTAAAGTAAAGGAACCAATTAGGGTTGAAAGACTTCTCAAAAATTTTAAGATTCTCTTAATTTATATATTAAAGAATTACCATTATTAAAAATTATAAACGATATGGTTGAGAGGGATTATAGAACTATATATATAGATGAAAGTCCTAATAATGTTTTATAACTAATATAAATATCAAAAGTTTATTTATTAGGATTAATGAATTTTGCCACTAAAGATTTTTGGGATATTAAAAACTTTTGTTTTACTGGGAGATTGGTTAATTTTCCAATAAGGATTTTAGGATGTTACATTATTTATGGATAATTGTTCTAGTGGAAGCTAGTGAGTTTATGTGAATGGTATTACCAAAGTAAACCATTTATTGAAATTCACATGTTTCTCAATAAGGATTCTGAAATGTAACATTAGGTAAGTGTTTCAATAGGAATATGTGAATTGACATGGATAGTACTGCCAAAGTAGGTCATCTATTAAAATTCACATATTTCTCAATAAAGATTTTAGAATGTTTGCTTCTTAAAATTAGTGTGTATAATTATCTGCTCAAAGAAGGTGATTGTGCATATTGATTAAAAGAAGTGTCAGTAGGGTTCCTATTTTAGTTTCATAGAGAATTTTCTACCCATAAAGGATTGTTCTTTTTGAGACAATTCTTATTAATTCACTTGTAATGGAAACTTTTGAAGTTTAATAAAATTTTATACACATTAGTTTTATTAAACTATCATGTTATTAAATTAGTTGATTTATTGGGAAGGTCAAATATGAATTATTAAAGTTAAAGAATAAAGTTGGTACTTTTATTAATGCATGTAATATTTTGTCCAAAGGTGATCATTATGTGCTTTAACTTAAAGTAGTGGGAGCAATTACTAAGAATTGTAAGTATTTATATATATATTTATCAAATGATGATTTTCCTAGTAATTGATTTATTAAGATTTTATTTTATAGGCTTATTTAATCAATATAAAGTGCAAATATAGTAAAGTATAATTATATCTTAAACTCTTATAAGTTAAAGGGAATCATGCTATGAATTAACACTACAAGAATTCACTGTTTCACCGACGAGAAACCATGTCGGTAAAAGAAGGAATCTGGTCGATGAAACGAAATTCCCACTTGGATCACGTCGGTAATGGGTTTCTCAGTGAAGCCAGGCTCGGTAATTCAATCATCGACATAGATGAAAATCACGTCGGTAAACGCACTCATCATTGATTTATTAAGATTTTATTTTATAGGCTTATTTAATCAATATAAAGTGCAAATATAGTAAAGTATAATTATATCTTAAACTCTTATAAGTTAAAGGGAATCATGCTATGAATTAACACTACAAGAATTCACTGTTTCACCGACGAGAAACCATGTCGGTAAAAGAAGGAATCTGGTCGATGAAACGAAATTCCCACTTGGATCACGTCGGTAATGGGTTTCTCAGTGAAGCCAGGCTCGGTAATTCAATCATCGACATAGATGAAAATCACGTCGGTAAACGCACTCATCATTATCGACAAGAAACATCTTGCAAATAGGGAACCGGAACAGTTCACCAGAAAACATCTCTGGTTCCCACGTGGGTTAATTACTGACAAGCATAACGTCTGCACATATAGAGGGACCTCGAGCTCTGTGCTAATCACAGACAAACATCACGTCTGGCAATGCAGGAAAAATGCTTCGCAATTTGGGCTATGTTAGTAAATCACCGACAAAAACCACGTTTGAAATACACAAAGATCTTCGTTGACAGGTTGAAAATCATCTCCAAAATTTTAGGCGCCAATTTTTTCAGGCGCCATTTTTGTTTTTTGTTTTCCTAGTTATCGACGAGAATCACGTTGGTAATTAACCCTGAAAAAAAAAAAAAAGTATCTTGAATTCAGCTCATATTGAAATTAATATATATATAGTTATTGTTTAATTAAATAAATTTACAATTAAACATTAAGTAATTCGTAATATTTAATATTATAAAAAATAAATATAATATGAAAATTTTATAATGAAATCA